TTCCTCTCTTGTCGAGTCTCGTCTCACCCCACTCTGGCGACTTTGCGTTAAAATCACCAGTGATGATGACATCCAGCCTGGATTCTGTGAGGCTCGATTCTAGGTCTTCGATATTGGCTTCGAAGTTTGTCAGTGGGTCGTTGGGTGAGAAGTAGCAGCTATACATACGTATATTAGCCACCTCTATCCACACGAACCCACTGCTCGTCTCCAGAAACTTGTCCACCCGCAATTCTGGGTTGCACAGCTTTATGGCGGCTCTCTTCGCCTTATCCTGATACCAAGGGGCGAGATCGCTTCCTTGATACTGCTCACTGCAGAACAGGATATCGACCTCATTTTCCCTTGCTGTTTGCATTAGGAGCAACTGTGCATCCTTACTTGTATGCAAGTTGACCTGCAAAAATTTTAAGGATTTGCCCTTTTAATCTTTTGCAGTTCTTCTCTGTAAACCGGGCAGGCTCTCTTTCCGGAATCGTGATCCGTCTCTGGCTTTCCCAGGTCCAAGCATGTAAGGCACTTCGGCTTAACTTTACAGCTCTTCGCGAGGTGTCCCTCTCCGCCGCATCTCCGACAGTTTTTGCTTCTGTCGGGGCCTTTGCAGGTTCGGGTTGAGTGTCCGTATGCTAGGCACTTTTGGCACCTAGCTACTTCAACATACTCGCGAATTGGAGCATTTATCCAGCCGATTTTTATTTTACCAAGCTTTAGCAGAGTGTTACTTTCTGCCTCTGTCAGACGTACCAGAGCAACCTTAGTTCCTCTGTATCGCGGCAAAAGTCGACACTCCATCTTCAGGTCGGGTTTACCCAGCTTTTCTCTTAGTTCTGCAGTTACCTCATCCTCTGAGGTGGCTTCGTCCAAATCCTTAATCTCTAGAGACCTTTTATTCACTAGAGGTGTGACCTCAGCTTTACCATGCAGGGCCGAAGACAGTGCATCTGCAAATTTTAAGGTCTCTCCGCCCTTTTTCACTATCACGAGAACCTCCTGTTTAAAGGTTCTCCTGATTTTCCGGATCACGGTACCCGTATCTTCTGGGTTTACCTTTGCTTTTAGCAGCGGCAAGATACCCTCATAAAGCTTTGGGTCGCTTGCCGTAATTTTAACAGCTTCCGTGCTCCTCAGCTTCAAAGGGGGCTTCGGAAGCTCTTTTTTCTCACCTGAGGGTTTCTCTTTTGGAGTCCGTTTCTTTTTGCTTTTAACAACTTTGAAGCCGTCCCCATTGTCCGCTCCGTCCTTTAAAACGGTCTCAGCATACGAACTGCCAGGACTATTTAAGGGCGCCTCTTTCGTTCCATCTAGCGACTCAGAACCAAGCTGTGGAGCATCCTTTCGCTTAATTCTTTTCCCGCTTTGAGTCGCCCGTTGCGGACTCGCATCTGGGCTTGCACCTTCCCTGGGGCGCTTATTAACGCCCTTTGCCTTATTAGGGCGTGCAGTTACGCCGTCCAGAGCTGTAGTAGTGCTCTCCGTCTGATCTCGAGCTCCCACAGTTGGATGTTGCGGCGCCTGGTCTTTGAACGGCTCGGGGATAAAACGTAAATTCTTACAAATTGTTAAGAACGAACTCTCCAAAACCGCCACGCCATCCTGGATGTCACGACTGACGTTCTTTTGGCGCTTGAATGCCTGGTACACGCTCTTAAAAATCCCGGGAATAGCCAGAAACTGATTTGCGACATTTAATTCGTAGCATGTCAGCTGGCTATCTATTTGGCTCCCTCCAAAATCCTTGGAGCCATCTGCACCGACTATCGGGGCTTGCACCCGATCAGAATCGGTGGTGGGATTACCCTCTTTCGAGGTACCCACTTGGAGTATTTCGTTTAAAATTTTGTCCATTTCATTTGTGTTTTTTTTAATTCTTTGTCCCGTGTCGAGGGACAATCGGGCCTTAACAGGGTACTACCATCTGGCCAAGATGGGCCCTGAACCGCCTCCGTTAGTTACATAGACGTTATAGCATTGCCGGAGCATTGATGCGACGTCTATGATATCCAAGGGCACGTGAACATGTGTGTTCGGACGTGGAGGTCGATGTGTCTCTCCAAGATAGCAGGAAGTTTCCGCAAAGGGAGTGCATCCTGGTATCTCTTCACAGAGTTTACCCTCATTATTATTATTATTATTATTATTATTATTATTATTATTATTATTATTATTATTATTATTATTATTATTATTATTATTATTATTATTATTATTATTATTATTATTATTATTATTATTATTATTATTATTATTATTATTATTATTATTATTATTATTATTATTATTATTATTATTATTATTATTATTATTATTATTATTATTATTATTATTATTATTATTATTATTATTATTATTATTATTATTATTATTATTATTATTATTATTATTATTATTATTATTTTTTTTTTTTTTTTTTTTTTTTTATTCACGGGGGAGAAGAGGAAATGCATTTACGCATCCCCAAGAAGATCCCACTTACCTGGGGTATGTCGGACTCGTACAAAATGCAAGGAAAAAAAAAGAAACCTCACATACCTGCTTTTAACGGCAGTCACCCTACCGACTAAAACCTCTTCTTGTTTCCCCTGGGTTTCGAACCTTCTATCCACCTACGGAACTACCTAGTGGCTTCAGACTTCGTAGATGAATGGTTCCATGTAGTCGCTGGCGCAACTCTCCCGTGCCGCTCTTGTTCTGGCCTTATTTTCTCCTTGTCCTTGACAAAGTCTTCTTTGCTTCATCGAGGGCAGTTCTGAAGACCTTGCAACTCCCTGATCCGGCGACATGTTGGATGTTCTCCTTTTCGCCGAACTTCGCCTTGCATAAGAAGCAGCATGGGCTCTTCTTACAGTCTGCTGCCTTATGGCCGGCTTCTCCGCACTTAAAGCACGCAGCCGACCTATCTACTGCATTGCAGTCTCGACCTATATGACCATAGTCAAGACACCTATGGCACCTTTTGACCATCACTCTACTTCTGATCCTGCAGGACACGAATCCAATCTTTACGTGACCCACCTTCTCCAGCTTATCAGCATCTTCATGGCTGGTGACCACAACAGCGAGTTTCACTCCTCGCTTATTTGGCCCAAGGACCGTCACCTTTCTGCTTCCAGCTGGAACTGTGGAAACTTTCTCCAGGGCATCCTCAAAATCTTTCTTCTCAGTAAGGGCATCCATGTCGCAGATTTCCAGCGTAGTTCGCCGATCCGCCATCTGCACCTTACCCAAATCGCCGATCACCTTTGTCACCTCCTCGGTGAACAGCTTCTTGTTTGAAGACCCTCCAATTTTAATGAGAAGGTCTCCCTTTTTAGTGGGTAAAGCTTCCACAATCCTTGTCTGGCTGGCCTCCAGGTCAGCCTCCCTTCGAACCTTCGCCAGCACTTCAGCGAAAGTCTTTCCTTCGGCCACTTTAACGATCACTGTGGCTCTTCCCTTCTTGACCTGGTCTGGCTTTGGAACCGTTTTGTTCCCCTTGCCTCCAGTCTTTTTTGGTTTCTTCTCCTTTTTCCTTTTTGGATCCTTCGCAGGCTCAGGATCACTTCTCTTCCGCTTCTGAGCATCCAAGACGACGTTTCTCAACACGATTGCGTTACAGCGATCTCGTCTAGCTCTGCGATCTTGTCTAGCTTCTTCAGACCAGGTCAAACCCTGGTAGAAACTCTCGTCCTTTTTCGCAGCTGCTGCGTGCTTCTCCTTTACGTCCCTTATGAGCGATGTTAAGCTTTTGAGTCCATCCTTGATTGTCCTATTGACATTCTTCTGGACTTCACAGGACTTCAGCATCTTGCTGACCTCCTCCTCCATTTCTAGAATGCTCGCTGCCTCTTCCTCCCGCAGCTTAACGCATTCATCTCGATCTTGGTTGCAACTTGCAATGTCCTTTGCCGAGGCATTACTGAAGACAGAAATGCAGCTGGCTTGACTCGTCACGCTGCTCGTACTCCCTCGTCTCTCCGACCTGTCCACGATGATCTGTGGCACTACCAACGCGTTGTTGCCCTCCTGCATCCTTGGGCCACTGGCCACCGCCCTCACGCTCGAAAGCGCTTGACGATCGGAACCAGTGAGGGATTTAGCCGTAGCATTACCCCGCAGGTACTCTTCCTCGTTTTTACAATCGCTCATGATGGATGTTTCTTGTTTGCTGGTTTTGGTCCGCGTCGAGTATTTGATTTCCTCGATACCACCTATTTCTAGGAAGCTAACCTATCCGCCACCTGGCACGCGTCCGATAGAGGACCAGCAACCCGCGCAAAAGAACAGGTTCTAATGCGCCCCGGGTAGAACAAAAGTTCCAATTAGAACAAAAGTTCCAACCGGGCACGGATTATTATTATTATTATATTATTATTATTATTATTATTATTATTATTATTATTATTATTATATTATTATTATTATTATATTATTATTATTATTATTATTATTATTATTATTATTATTATTATTATTATTATTATTATTATTATTATTATTATATTATTATTATTATTATTATTATTATTATTATTATTATTATTATTATTATTATTATTATTATTATTATATTATTATTATTATTATTATTATTATTATTATTATTATTATTATTATTATTATTATTATTATTATTATATTATTATTATTATTATTATTATTATTATTATTATTATTATATTATTATTATTATTATTATTATTATTATTATTATTATTATTATTATTATTATATTATTATTATTATTATATTATTATTATTATTATTATTATTATTATTATTATTATTATTATTATTATTTTTTTTTTTTTTTTTTTTATTCACGGGGGAGAAGAGGAAATGCATTTACGCATCCCCAAGAAGATCCCACTTACCTGGGGTATGTCGGACTCGTACAAAATGCAAGGAAAAAAAAGAAACCTCACATACCTGCTTTTTACGGCAGTCACCCTACCGACTAAAACCTCTTCTTGTTTCCCCTGGGTTTCGAACCTTCTATCCACCTACGGAACTACCTAGTGGCTTCAGACTTCGTAGATGAATGGTTCCATGTAGTCGCTGGCGCAACTCTCCCGTGCCGCTCTTGTTCTGGCCTTATTTTCTCCTTGTCCTTGACAAAGTCTTCTTTGCTTCCTCGAGGGCAGTTCTGAAGACCTTGCAACTCCCTGATCCGGCGACATGTTGGATGTTCTCCTTTTCGCCGAACTTCGCCTTGCATAAGAAGCAGCATGGGCTCTTCTTACAGTCTGCTGCCTTATGGCCGGCTTCTCCGCACTTAAAGCACGCAGCCGACCTATCTACTGCATTGCAGTCTCGACCTATATGACCATAGTCAAGACACCTATGGCACCTTTTGACCATCACTCTACTTCTGATCCTGCAGGACACGAATCCAATCTTTACGTGACCCACCTTCTCCAGCTTATCAGCATCTTCATGGCTGGTGACCACAACAGCGAGTTTCACTCCTCGCTTATTTGGCCCAAGGACCGTCACCTTTCTGCTTCCAGCTGGAACTGTGGAAACTTTCTCCAGGGCATCCTCAAAATCTTTCTTCTCAGTAAGGGCATCCATGTCGCAGATTTCCAGCGTAGTTCGCCGATCCGCCATCTGCACCTTACCCAAATCGCCGATCACCTTTGTCACCTCCTCGGTGAACAGCTTCTTGTTTGAAGACCCTCCAATTTTAATGAGAAGGTCTCCCTTTTTAGTGGGTAAAGCTTCCACAATCCTTGTCTGGCTGGCCTCCAGGTCAGCCTCCCTTCGAACCTTCGCCAGCACTTCAGCGAAAGTCTTTCCTTCGGCCACTTTAACGATCACTGTGGCTCTTCCCTTCTTGACCTGGTCTGGCTTTGGAACCGTTTTGTTCCCCTTGCCTCCAGTCTTTTTTGGTTTCTTCTCCTTTTTCCTTTTTGGATCCTTCGCAGGCTCAGGATCACTTCTCTTCCGCTTCTGAGCATCCAAGACGACGTTTCTCAACACGATTGCGTTACAGCGATCTCGTCTAGCTCTGCGATCTTGTCTAGCTTCTTCAGACCAGGTCAAACCCTGGTAGAAACTCTCGTCCTTTTTCGCAGCTGCTGCGTGCTTCTCCTTTACGTCCCTTATGAGCGATGTTAAGCTTTTGAGTCCATCCTTGATTGTCCTATTGACATTCTTCTGGACTTCACAGGACTTCAGCATCTTGCTGACCTCCTCCTCCATTTCTAGAATGCTCGCTGCCTCTTCCTCCCGCAGCTTAACGCATTCATCTCGATCTTGGTTGCAACTTGCAATGTCCTTTGCCGAGGCATTACTGAAGACAGAAATGCAGCTGGCTTGACTCGTCACGCTGCTCGTACTCCCTCGTCTCTCCGACCTGTCCACGATGATCTGTGGCACTACCAACGCGTTGTTGCCCTCCTGCATCCTTGGGCCACTGGCCACCGCCCTCACGCTCGAAAGCGCTTGACGATCGGAACCAGTGAGGGATTTAGCCGTAGCATTACCCCGCAGGTACTCTTCCTCGTTTTTACAATCGCTCATGATGGATGTTTCTTGTTTGCTGGTTTTGGTCCGCGTCGAGTATTTGATTTCCTCGATACCACCTATTTCTAGGAAGCTAACCTATCCGCCACCTGGCACGCGTCCGATAGAGGACCAGCAACCCCGCGCAAAAGAACAGGTTCTAATGCGCCCCGGGTAGAACAAAAGTTCCAATTAGAACAAAAGTTCCAACCGGGCACGGATTATTATTATTATTATTATTATTATTATTATTATTATTATTATTATTATTATTATTATTATTATTATTATTATTATTATTATTATTATTATTATTATTATTATTATTATTATTATTATTCAATTCATTATTAAACTTGAATAATTTTATACATAAATATCTAAATATGTACTTTTTTTGTTTTCTTACAGGAAATAAAACTTTAAAAATTTCAATTTAAAACCTTCTGAATACTTTCTCTAAATTAATAAATTAATACTTTCTCTAAATTAATAAATTAATACTTTCTCCATCCAAAATTCAATTATTTTCTACAAGCTTTAACTAAATTTAATCTCTAAATCAATTATTTAAAAACAAAAATTCAATTTTTTATAATAATTTTTTATTTTTTAAAAATTAATAAGGTATTCATTTTTGGAAATATTTAGAAATTTTGCTTAGTGCAATCAAATTAGTATTAAAAGTACTTTATACGAAAGGGCATAGTCCCGTTTACTAAATAAATAAATAATATTTTCCAAAAATTGTAACAAATTCTTAAGATTATTTTTTTAAAAATATTTTAAAATAATTTTTGAGAGATAATTGTTTTAATTAAATGTACAATTTAGAAAATTTTAAATAATTGAAATTTGATAAATACTTTTCAGGCTACGCACTCTTCTATTAAAAGCTACTATTTGCTACTTTTTTTTAGCCTAATGCTACTAAAAGCTAGTTTTCTGAACAAATGGTAATATTTAGATTTTCAGTTTTCACATTCCCATTTAAAAACAGCGTTAAAAACTAAAATCGTTAATGAAAAACGACCGTGAATAAGATATTAGGGAATAATTTTACCGCCATTATTAATACTTACTGATTATAAATTGTGTTTAGATTTTCTTGCAAATGATAACCTTTAAAGGAAAAAATGTATAAAACAAAATATTACCAGGTAATGAGAAGACAAAGTGGTTAGTTTTGCACGGAGTCTACTATTTTCGTTCAACAAAATTCCCGGTTTCATTTTCTCATCAAATTTAAATTTATTTTATTTCGAACAAAAATAAATCCACAAATGGCTTCCTCATTTTTTATTAGACTTTTTATGAATAACTACATTTTTTTGACTAATAGTTTCTTTAAATTTTTTGAAAATAATGCTTTTTTTAATATTGTTAATTAAAAATTTAGAAAATAATTGAATTAAACAAAGAATTTTTTCGATTTTTTAAAATAATATTCAAGAGAATTTAGTAAATCTAAAGAATTTTGCTATTTATGAAAATAATTGAATTCTTGAAAAGAATTTTTTTACAGTTTCTAGAAAAAATCGAATTCTTTTGACGAATTTTAAACAAATTTTTAAATAGCACTTTTGCCAATTTCGACATTTCGGAGATATTGAAACATGGCTGGTTATAGCCCCACTTTCCCCTATTTAAACATTTCTAAAAATTGGTTTTTTAAAAATATTGCACTGTAATTGTTTAAAAATAATTAAATTTCTTAAAAGAATTTCTGTAATTTTGCAATTAAAAATTTTACATAATTGCGTCCTCAAAAATGTCAAATTCTAAAGAATTGTAATGTTATTTATTTTTGTCGCACACCTAGGGAGAGTTTTACTATTTTTTCAATAACTTTTTTTTCCTCTTTGCAAAATAAAATCAGTTTCTATATCTTTCGACAATTTCCTTCTCAACGCATTTCTAAAAAAACATTTAGTTTAAACATAATTAATCTTTAATTATGAGGCCTCCAAGCTTAAAAAACTCGAAAAAGTGAGGTTATGTTAAGTAAGAAAATCACTCTCTAAATTTGAATTAGTAAAAATTAACAATATTAAAGTCCGTATTCCGTTTGCATATATATATTTTGTCTGTTCGCATTTAGTATGTCTGTTCGCTTTTAGTATGTCTGTTCGCTTTTAGTATGTCTGTTCGATGTTAGAGGGAGCAAAACGCCCCCCGCTGCGAGGGCTACTTGGAATTGAGTCCCGAGCAACCTTCACAGCGGGGGTCTGCGAGGGCTACTTGGAATTGAGTCCCGAGCAACCTTCACAGCGGGGGTCTGCGAGGGCTACTTGGAGTTGAGTCCCGAGCAACCTTCACAGCGGGGGTCGCTTGAACCCTCAAACCCTCATTAAGGAAAACTGCTAATGACTTTTTCTATAAAATATAAATTTTTTAAATAGTAACATTTTTTATTTTTCAATAACATATTTAAATTCCTTACTTTCTCACGATTTTATACATATGTTGTTTACCAAAAAAATGTTAAAATTTAAAGATTAAGTTAAATATTTATTTAACTAGCAATCTAACGCGCGCTAAAGCGCGCGTCTAATACTTCGTTTTGTGATTTAGGCATTTTGAAATAAAGATTATGGGTCAGTATTTCTTAAAACGATCACGTAAATAAATAAAAAAAATTTAATTTTCAAAGTTTAATAATTTTGCTTCGTCATGAGAAAGTATTATTATAGTAAAATTTTTCAATCTCTATTTGTTAATGTTTTTATGACCCTTACAAAAAGCACTAAAAATAATAATGTTCAAAGAATTCAAAAAAAAAATTGGGAAAAAAAATAATCAAAAATTTTAAAAGTTATGAACTGGTGAAGTGTGAATTGAAAGAAATTCTTGTTGACACGATAACTCAAAATCTACTCAAACGATTTACTTCAAATTTTGCAGAAATGTTCTTTGTATATCTCTTTATGGTCGCAACCTTAGATTTTGAAAAATATTTTTTTTACTATTTTTAAAAAATTAAAAAAAAGATTAAAAACAGAATCAAAAAACACAATTTTTTTTAAATCGTCGCCATTTTGCTAAAAAATTATTTTTTCTTTTCCAAGGTATCGACCATAGCAAAGCCTTTAATAATTAAGAATTTTTTTTAGTTTTTTGTTTTAGAGCATTACAAAATAATTAATTAAAGGGATATTAGTTTCAATATCCTTAATTGTTTTTACGTCAAATAGAAACTTTTTTAAATAAAATTCAAGTGTGGGATGTCTACACACATTAAAAAATTTGAATTTTTGTGAAGGTTTTTTTCCTGTTTTTATAGATATTATATTATTTTTTTAATTTAATATAATTCTTTTTATTTTCTAATTAATAAAAAAACTTTTTATTATAATTTATAATTATAAATATATTTGTAATACAAAATTTTATATGTTTAAAGTTTCGTATAACTGAAATTTCTTTTTGTGAAATTTTATTTACTATAATTTTCATTTAAACGAATTTTTATTATTGAACAGAATATCTTTTAGACTAATTATTAAGATATTTGTCTCGCGACTGGTCACTCTCAAAAGTTTGTATCCGACGACTGTACTGTTGAAACGATTTTGAATACGAGTATCATAAAAACTTTTGTACACGTACAGTCTCACGAGTTTCACACACAGAAGTTCTCAATGTATAATCTTAACCTCATTCTTGGAAAACGATAATGGCAATTTTTATCAATCGGAATAACGAAAATAAAACAATGCTAAAATTTAACTTTTTTCCTTCTTTCTCAATGTAAAATAAATAACATAATAATGTAATATTATGACTGAATCATATTATTAAAGTATTTCATGAAAAACAATATTTTTAATGTATAATTTTTGTGGATATTTTAAGTTCTTGAATACAGCATTATCTAGGACATAAATTTTTAAATTTTCTTTAGATTTGACTCTAGAACAACCAACATAAATTTGACCATGACCAAATGCAGAAATGGGTAGAAATATTCCTACTTTATCAAAAGACTGTCCTTGAGATTTATTGATAGTCATTGCATAAGCAAGTCTGATTGGAAATTGTCTTCTTACCATTTTAAAAGGAAATGTATCTTCTGAAGGAGATAAATCAATACGAGGAATAAAAACTATTTCACCTTTCGATTTTCCAGTAATTATTTCTGCAGCAATAACGTATTTCAATAAAGATTTTACAACTAATCGAGTCCCATTACATAATCCTTGAACCAAATTCATATTTCTTAAAAGCATAATTACACACCCTATCTTCAATGATAATTTATGGGGAGGCATACCATCTGGTGTTAAACTATTTAAAAATTCTACTGGAACAATATTATTTACATTTTTTTCATCATCATCAGCTATATGTGAATCAACACTGTAATAAATTACTTCTTCTCCTTCTAGTTTTGACAAAATACGATCATTCATGTCTAATACTTCTGAATTAGTCAATGAAAGAATACAAGAAGAATAAACATTCACATCATTTGGATTTATCGATGATCCATATATTTCATCAATTAAATTTCCATTCGATATCAAATCTTGTGGAATTTCTAATACATCATTTTCTTTTTCAAACGTACTTTGAGGTTTGCCATCACCAACATTCAATAACCAATTTGAAAACTCTACTTGATTATCATGTAATCTAACGTTAACATTTAAAGATCTAGTTTCAAAGTATTTCCACAATTTACTATTTTTTACACAAACCTCAACAATATGAGTGCGACTACCATGCGGAACAATTGGCAAAGTTTGCCTAAAATCACCTGAAAGCAAAATAACTTTACCTCCAAACGGTTTATTACATTTTGTAATATCTCTTAACATGGATTCCATTGCTTGTAAAGCATATTTTGGGGCCATTGAAATTTCATCCCAAATAATAATTTTTGCACTCCTTAAAAGTTCAGCATGTTTCGACATTCCACTTATATTACATGTTGAATCTTCATTGATTGGTATAGGGAATTTAAACATAGAATGTGACGTTCGTCCTCCTTTTAGAAGATTAGCCGCTATACCAGTCCAAGCAACTGATAAAACTACTATTTCCTCACTTTCGACTGTAGTAATAATAGTATTGTGTAAATAGCTTTTACCACTTCCTCCAGGCCCATCAAGAAAAAAATATCTACTATCATATTCATCATTATGTACGGCCATCATAACATCATTAAAAACTTGCCGTTGTTCATCATTCAAACTTTCAATAAGATTATTAGCTTCTTCTTTTAGCAATTGTAATGTTAACGCATTATCTTCCTTATCAACAGAACTATAATCTTCAAGAATTTTTAGATCGATGTTTGGTAAACCAAATTGATGTAATGTAAATCCATGAAAATTAAATACTTCATTAATTAAAAGTAATGATTTTTGAAGCGATATTTCCACAGGTAAATTATTATCAAAAATCATGTGTTCTTTAAACTTATTCCATAAATCAACAGCATTCACGGGTAAACCAAACACACATATATATGCAAATAAACGACATAGTTCTTTAGGAAATTTCATACTCACGGCTTCAGTCAAACAATTATCCCACTCGTTATCGTCTACCATCAAATTTCTTGCACGTGCTGCTTCTGTATAAGTATTATATATAATACCTTCATATGTTCTCACATCTTCAAACGATTTAGCACCACGTACATAAAGTAGTAAAATTCTCAAAAAATATCTTTCAATGTCTTTTGGACTTACAAAATACATTCGGCAAATTATAGGTTTTGTAATTCGTTCTCGTTTTTTCCAAGTTTTAGATGACTCAACAAAAACATACTTATGTGGTATTTCAGAGTACAAATATTTGCGTGCTTCAGGATCTTGTCTATTTAACTGAAACCATGCTGTCAACATTGTATTTTTAAATTTCTCAATTGCAGTTTGTTCCATTCCTTCTTGAAAACATATTGATTGTTGATTAGGCAAATGTACAGCTAATCTATATGTTGCATGTGATTGCTCGTGCATATTGAATTCATAAAGTCTATGCATTGCTTCTGGTGGACACACATACCGTGTATTTAAATAATTTTGAATTTCATCATAATGCATTACTTGATTATCATCTTTATAACCAACTATTGCATAATCATGTCCCTTATAACAATATTTAAATAAATATTTAATACCACCTGTACTACCACATGCTACTAAGTTAATATGACATGCAAATTTTTTACTTAAATACGGATTATATGATACAATCATCGAATTGTCAGCAGTGCATTTAATTGACCCGTCTCTATTATAAAAAATAATTTTTTTGCCATCATTTCTCCGTCTATACTCCGGATAATTTTTTGATTCATAATTTGTTTTTGGAGAAAATGGTTTAGGATAATTTTTCGTGCATAATTTTGTTTCAGGATTCATACAAGGAGAATGTACATTTTGCTTTCCACAAGGTCCATGAACTTGAAACTGCTTCACAATTTTATAAAGTTCTGGATTCTTTTTCTCATCAGGAATTTCTGCACATATTATTTTATCTACAGTTTCTGCATCACGAATAGCAAACTTTTTATCTAAAAAAATTATTGAATGTACATGAGGCAATCCACGCTTTTGAAATTCTATTACATATACATAAGCAATGACTGGACCAAAAATTTGTTTATCTTTTAATTCACACATTAATTCTTTTACTTTCTTTTGAAAAACTCGGGCAACAATATCTGGTCGGTCAGATGCAGTTTCCGAATCCAATAAATTTTCCATAATCTCAGGCCATTTTGGATTACATGTCATTGTAATAAATAAATCTGGTTTTCCAAATTCTTGAACTAATCGCATAGCGTCCATAAAACATTGTTGATAAGCGCGTGGTCCTCCAGTAAATGTAGAAGGTAAAATAATCATTTTCCCTGGTCGAATATTTTCTTGTGTTGCTTTATTATTCATATAATCCATTAATCCACAGTACATTTCAGCTCGAAGTTTTTTCTGTTCAAAACGAATATATTTTAAACGCTCACCTTCTACTTTTGACCAACTATCAACAATAAATTGTTGAGTTAATTTACCCATTTGTAAACATGGATTAAATGTTCCTCTATAAGACAAGCGATACATATAAATTGTAAAGGAGTAATATTACGAACACCATCAGTATGTTTCATATTTACAGTCCATCCTGGATCACCTGACGGAAACATTAAAGGATATGTCATGGGATCGGCATGTGTGCTAAGACTACTAATTGGAATACTTTTAGAACCCCTTGGATGTATACATATATCACGTTCAATTGGAGGCTCACCATCTTCGCTAACAAATATAACTGCTACTTCATTGCAAGACGGAACATTATATTTGCTTTGAGAAAATTTTGGATCACGTTTAAACCACATTTGAATGCTTCTCGGACACTCATTCATTAATTTTGCCCTTGCTTCTTCTTCCAATTCCAATTCTTTCATCATTTTAAATGACTTTGCATAAATATTAATATCTCTAAGTAAAATATCTATTTCAGTCATTAGTAATTGTAAACATTTTTTATTACATTCATTATTCAATCGTTCCATCACCGCTTCATCAGTATCAAGAATATACAATTGACCATATTTTCGATTATCTCCATCATCAGGATGAAGAGAGTATGTATCATGATACACTTGTCCATGTATACGAAATACATAAGGACCATATCCCTTTGGAACGTCTAATTTAGCTCCCATGCTAGCAAATGCACACGAACTATTATAAGATCGAATATTTTCCTTATAATTCTTACTTTTAAAGTTATTATCAAATAATAAATTTTTCAAATACAAAGGATAAGGTTTTAAATCATACAACTTTACTTTTCCTTTATGACAACAACTACTAAATTTTTTATCCTGTGGCCTTTCACACAAAAAATGTAACGCGTCACAAAACATACATTTGACATTCATTACACCTAAATAATTTTGTGTAACTTTATGTTCATCAAACTCTTCAGACAACATAATTCCAACTCCTAAAGTTTCCATCATTTTTCCATTTTTTTTATTCATTTTACATGTTAAATTATTTTTTTGTCGATTTTTTTTGTCATCGTCCGTTTCTAAAGATAATTGTTTTCTTTTATAATTTAAATTCTTTTGCTTCATTACATTCTTTTCATCTACATTTAACAATTTTCTGTAATTACGTTTTCTCAATCTATCATTCTCTAGTCTGATTTTTTTCTGTTCATCTGTTTCTTCAAGCCTTGCCTTCCTTTTTCTCTCCTTGTCTGTTATTGCATAAAATCTCTTTTTCTCATTTTTTTCATTTTCATTAAGCTTCTCCTCTGAATATTCTGAAGATATACCTCTATTAACATTATTGTCGGAAGCTAATTTAGATTCTCTTCTCAACAATTTTTCAAATTCAGTAATATGATTGTCATTTAACTTTTTTCCTTCATTATTTAAAATTTTACAATCCTTATCACTTAAATTTTGTTGACCTTTGGTTTCATTTTCTATTTTTAGAGATAATTTAATTTTTTTACTATTTAAATTGTTTTGCGTCATTACTTTCTTTTCATCTATATTTCTAGCCTTTTGGCAATTACGTTTTCTCAGTCTATCATTTTCTAGTCTGATTAATTTCTGTTCATCTGTTTCTTCGAGCTTTACCTTCCTTTTCCTCTCATTATCTTTTATTGCGCGATGTCTCTTTTTCTCATAGTTTTCGTTTCCATTAAGCTTCTCCTCTGAATATTCTGTAGATATACCGCTATTCACATTATTATTCCTAATACTGATACTAGTTTCACAAATGGAAGACGAGTTTGGTATTTCTATGAGTTTTGTAGCTCCATCCGTTAAAAGACGTTTCCAATCATACTCAACAAAAAAAGGTCTAATAACGTTTGTCAATTCCACGGAAGGAAATGAAATTAAACGATTATTTTCAAACATAAAAATTAGATGTCGTCTCATTTCACTATGAATATAATTAACAGTATTTGGCAATTCATTGTAATATAAAGATGTTGCAAACGCTATTGCGTATATGCCACAGTCAATTCCATTCGGTTGTAGATTAACAGTTGAAAAAACTACCGGCGGTTTGAAAGGATATAATCTAAGTAAATATTTTTTTTGATCTTCATTTAGGCATTCCTTATTAAGACTATTATAAATATATAGCCTTAATCCATCATAATAAGTACAAATCCAGTGACCAGATTTGCAAGCACCACTAAAAAGTATTTTAATGTGCTTCTGATTTTTATCAATCGGAATAATGAATTCAGGCGTAATTAAATATAAAGTACTTTGCATGTTAAATGATAAATTTGATTCTCTTCTCAACAACTTTTCAAATTCAGTAATATGATTGTCATTTAACATTTTTCCTTCAGTATGTAGAATTCTATTATCTTTATCACTTAAATAAACTTTTTCTTCTCTGTTAGACATGATTTTTTAACAAAATGAACTAATAATTTAATATTTTTCAAAAACTTATTTTTTGAAAACAGACTTAAACTTAAAGCTTCTATCTTATAACTAAATAAATTAAAATAATGAATAAATATAAATAATTTTTTATAGTTTATTTTATTTTTTATATGAACATTTCTTTACATTTAAATTTATTTTATTTTTTCTATTTATTATATATTTAATTAATTAATAATAAATAGTCATCAAATTTCTCAAAAATCTCATAAAACACATAGTTTGCATAAATAATACAAGTCACATAAATCGCATTTTCTTCCCATATAAATCATATAATAATACGCATAATAAGTCGCATAATTTCGCATAAGTCACATGATTTCGCATAAGTCATATAATAAAGCACATCTAATAAAGCAAAAAACTCATGTAAATCATGAGCACATAAGTACAAATAAATATATAAAAAGTGCAATAATATCTTAACTAATATAATTGAAAAAAATTAAATCAAAAATTATCCCAAAACATTAACCAAAATAAATTTATTTACTCTAACAAAATATTTCACTGAGTTCAAATTTTCACAATTATTATTAATAGAAAATCAAATTCAACTGTAAAGTAGAAAATTTTAAAGATTTTTTAATAAAGATACTCTTTGAAATTGAAACCCTTACTCGTACTTCCGTTACTTTTCATACCTCGTTCTCTATCTTCCTCTTATTCACTCCTTCTGTCTGAGATGAGAAGAGAAAAATAATCAGCCAATAAACAATTAAGACCCCCTTTTAGTATTTTCGCTTAAAAGTGAAATTCCCCACTTTTCCTTCCCCTACCAATTCTTGTTGCACTCTTTCTGTCTGACACAGAAAAGGGAGAAAACATGATACCTCTTTCTAAACAGAAAAGTAGGCGTTACTTTCTTAACTATTCACCTCTCCTTCGCTCCTACTCTAAACTAAAAGGGCAGGCGATACTTCCCTCTCTTTCTCTCTATCAATCTTTCTCTCTCATTGCGGACGGAATGTACACGCTCTGGACAGACTGAATGAATTCGAAGATTATTTTAGTTAATAATAGGTATGGTTTTTGGTAGAGTTAACTTCATTCTACACGGAGAGAAAAATCAAGCGTTTTTAGTATGGAGACTTCCTATGGTAATTTTGTATGAACGCCCTGCTTAAGAGGCGTGTCCTTATACCTCAGTTGCATGAAACATATACTAAAATAGCATGGATCTCTTGCAATCGTAGTGTACTGACGTCCCATGCGTTTAAAGGTAGAACTTTTATGCTGATAACGTAGAAATTGATACAAATACAGCAGAAATTTTACGCCTATTGCGCATGTGCATTCTTTTACTAAATAAGGTTAACTGTCCATACTAAAAACGCTTGATTTTTCTCTCCGTGTATGTATCTGGAAAAATAATAAATTTTTTTAATTTTAACATTTTTTGGTAAACAACATATGTATAGAATCGTAAGAAAGTAAGGAATTTAAATATGTTAATGAAAAATAAAAAATGTTACTTTTTAAAAAATTTGTATTTTTATAGAAAAAGTCATTAACAGTTTTCCTTAATGAGGGTTTAAGGGTCCGAGCGATCCCCGCTGTGAGGGTTTCTCGGGACTCAGTTTTGACTTGGTGTGTCGTATGGTGGGGGAAGGCTTCTTTCCCTCACGGGACTAACTTGGTCATCACTCCTTGTATGTAGTGTAGAGAGTTAACAATCGTGCTTCGTGAGTGGTATATTCATTTTTTGAATATATCACATTACTATTTGATATACTTTTTTTTATTTTGGATAACATTAGATATTTTCTTTTCTTTTTTTTGTATAATTTCTCTACAATTTGTAGAGAGTTAATTAAAGTGTTTCGTGAGAGGTATAGTTATATTTTTTTAAATATTATATTATTATTTGATATAGTTTTTCTTCATTTTGAATTTAAAGGATAAAGAAATTGACATTTTTTTCTGTTTTGAATAACATTTGATTTTTTTTATTAAAAAAAAAGAAAAGAAATATTGTATAAAATTGAAATTTGGATATTGGATGAAATAAAAGATAAAAAAAGAAATATTGGATAAAATTGAAATTTGGATATTGGATGAAATAAAAGATAAAAAAAGAAATATTGGATAAAATTGAAATTTGGATATTGGATGAAATAAAAGATAAGAAAAGAAATATTAGATAAAATTGAAATTTGGATATTGGATGAAATAAAAGATAAGAAAAGAAATATTGGATAAAATTGAAATTTGGATATTGGATGAAATTGGAATTTAAAGTATTTAAAATTTAAAGTGGATTAAAGAGAAATATATATATATATATTGGATGAAATTGGAATTTGATGTATTTAAAATGGATTAAAGAGAAATATATTGAATGAAATTGGAATTGGACGTATTAAAAATGGAATAAGGGAATATATTGGATAAAACTGGAATTTGACGAATTTGAAATAGATTAAATAGAATATATTGGATAATATTGAATTTAGGCTTATTGGATATATAAATTGGATGCATTTGAAATTTGACGAATTTGAAATATATTAAATAGAATATATATTGGATAAAATTGAATTTAGGGCTTATTGGATATGTATATTGAATAAAATTGGAATTTGACATATTAAAAATGAATTAAATAGAATATTGGTTGTTGAATTAAAAAACATTGTTTTATGGGTTAAATATGATTTGATTGGTTAAATATTGATATGTTGGTTAAATAATTAAATATTGGATAAAATTGGAATGTGGCTTATTTGAAATGGAGTAAATACACTTTATTAGTTCAAATCTTGAATATTGTTTTATGAGTTAAATATTGGTTGGTTTGTATTAGTGATATAGGAGACAATGATTTTGTAAGAATTGATGAAATTGTGATGTAGAAAATATAAATTGGGAAAACGTAATTATTATTATCAAAACCCACAAATTGGAATTAAAAATAGATTAAGAAGAAAATATTGATTAAAAAATGTCGAGAATAGAAGGTCATGTTAATTTAAGTGCTACAGAATATAGAGAAATACTTAATAATAAAGATATGTTAAGTGATAATCATATTTATGAATTTGGAAAAATTTTGGAAAGAGAATCAAATTCTGTGTTTAGAATGCAAAGTACTTTATTTGTAAATGAAGATCTGCTTGAACATATTAGACCTATTAGAGTAGGCAAAAAACATATTCAAATACTATTTAGTGGTCATAATAAGAGGGGTCATTGGATTTGTACGTATTATAATGGAGTAAGAATTTATATTTTTG